GAATCCAGTAAGGTTACCCTTGAAGGTGCCCTGCAACACATTTTGAGCATGGGCAGAAACTGCTGCCAATCGGTAGTAGAGGCTCCCGACAACGCGCAAGCCAATTATTATAGTGCAGCATGCGGCCTGGAATTCACAATAAATTATCAGTCGGCTAGAAATTGGTTTCTCTTTTCTCGACAGATCACAGAAGACGCTGAAAAATTGCTTGTAAAAAGCCATCTATCAGCCGACAGCCGATTTGAACATGGCGCACTTAGTCGTTACAGAGATCAACGCAAGAGGCTGTCACTTGTCCATGTGTGCGATCGCACTGAAAAAGCCATGTATTCAGAAAAAAAAAGAAAGAAGTGCTCAAGGTCACAAGGCGCGCGTGACGTTTTTTGTTTGCCCCTCCCACCCCTCTTTGCTTAGCTTCCAGCGCTTTCGTCTGGATAAGAGAAGAGAGAATGCGATTACAGCGTGTGACAAATCTTTGTAACTCCGCTCGTACTGGACGGATTCTTAAAATTTTTGCGGCATTGAATTTGTGAAGCAATAAGCTTTTCATTCCATGGTTACTTGAAAAAGTGTTTCAGGGCCCCTTTAATGACCAGCGGTTATCCTGCTTACGTGCTACGTGCCCAGCCCATGTTCATTTCTTCTTGATTTAAACTATAATATCCTTAACCCCGGTTTGTTCCCTGATCCACTCTGCTCTTTTCTTGTCTCTTAAGGTTACACCTATCATTTTTCTTTCCATCGCTCACTGCATCGTCCTCAATTTAAGCTGAATCCTCTTTGTAAGCCTCCATGTTTCTGCTCTGTGGGCCCATCCTTATTCTTCTAGTAATTTCACTCTCATGGTTCGGCTCTGCGGTTACTACCTGTCCTAAGTAGAGATATTTTTTTTGCAACTTCCAGCGTCTCTCCACCTATCTCAAAGTGCTGTTTTCTGCCGAGACTGTTGCACATTACTTTAGTTTTGTGCAATATTCAGTTTCAGACCTACTTTTCTGCTTTCTGTGTTCAGTTCTGTAATCATAAGTTGTAATTGGTCCACTAAGTTACTCATCAAGGTAATGTCATCAGCGAATCGCAGGTTACTGAGGTACTTTTCATTAATTCTTTTCCCTAACTCTTCCCAATCTAGGGTCCTGAAAACCTTCTGTAAACACGCGGTGAATAGGACTGGAGAGATCGTCTCTCCCTGCCTTACACCATTTTTTATTGGGATTCTGTCACTTTCTTTATGGAGAACTGTGGTGGCTATAGATCCACTAGATTTCTTCCAGTATGTTTATGTAGGGTTCTTCGATGCCCTGATTCTGGAGTGTCTGCATTACTACTGATGTCTCGACTGAGTCAAACGCTTACTCGTAATTTATGAAAGCTATGTATAGGGGCTGGTTGTATTCCGCGCATTTCTCTATTACCTGATTGATAGTATGAATATGGTCTATTGTAAAGTAGCCTCTACGAAATTCTGCTTGGTCCTATGGTTCATTGAACTCTAATGTCGTCTTAAAGGGGTCGCGAAACTTTCTCCAAACATTTTTAACTACACCAGTCTTCAGAATCCAGCCAGTCCAGTCAATACTATACATTGACTCATTTGGTCGTCTGTGATCAATGAACACATAAAAAAGCGCAACTTCAGTTTCCCAGCTCATGTTCCCGTCAATTGTACAGCTAACGTCAATTTAAGACAGCCAATGAAGTCTCTATGTGTTTGACAAAACATAGCAACGCAGCGATGTTTTTGAGCTTTAGTTGACTGTGGTTCGTAGCATCATACTGTTTGGCGCTGTCACCACCATTCGACCTTCCCGAACTACAGCGTCTGCTTTAGCAGATTCGGCTTTTGGGCTTAGAGCCGTATGCCGATGCACCCATGCGAGTTCGAGATTGGCCATCGTCAAAGCAAGGCAGCGGCGGCAGCGACAACGGCGAAGAAGCCTGCGCCCTTGAAGCAGTTGTATCGAGACTGCGTGGCAGAACCTTCGCTTGCGGAAGTCCTGACCATGAGCCTCCACTCTGTGTGCCCATACCATCTGGGGCCATCGCAGTTGATAGCTCGAAACACTGCTCTGCCCTGTGGCTCGCTCGGCAGCTTGTGAGAGCGAACGTTGTATGCACTTGGATGAGTTGCTCGGCCGGCACTGTCTTTGACACACACGGTTGACGTAGTGAGGTGAGGACTAAGCGTTGGACACATGGTGGGATTCAGAATCCGATCCGGCGTGCGACACCGCACGCGGCGTACGCGGCTCGCGACACATGGGGCGAACAAGCCATTAGCACTCAGGCTCCGCCCACTGACAGCACCTGAGCTTACACACTCGGAAGACATTGTATCCTCATTATCAAGTACAAAATAAACATCACACAGTCATGGTTCGTTGTCTAATAACATTGCCTACAAAGCTAGGCCTTCGCGAGTGACAAACATCACCACAGCCCACATTCATTCTCGACTTCGAGCGTAGACCTAGCAAGGCCAGCGTTCTCGGTAGCGCCGCTCTCTTTCAAACAAGAGCTCATTGGCGAGCACTTTTTTTTGCCAACACAATAAAAACTTGTACACTTATATGATGCTTTACCCGTGCAACTAGTTTTGTTGACGGCCTCGATGTGGGAACGTAAGGTGGGAACGAAGCCGGCCGGTTCGACGAGACGGCTGGTGCCACTGTTTATCTGCTAAATGGCCTTCCATCACGGCTCGATATCTCGTTGGTGGTTCGGAAACTGATGTTGCCTTGCAGAAATAGCACACCTCAAGCATCACTTTATTCAATCACGAGTTATTTTTCATAAGAAACAGTTTATCCAATGTTTTCCATGCCGCTCCCAATGACGATATTCACAAATACCAGGGCGATCGAGGCTATCAGAGCGGCGATGAAAAAACTCTCTACGGGTGCCCCCACCAGTGCGATTGTTGGTTGTCGCACGGCTGCATTTAGCAAGTTGGATGCTCACTCGGCAGATCACTCATTGTAATTGCACAGCATACAACTCAAAGTGCAAAAACTGCTGTTATTTTTTTCTTCTAGGTTTCTGTAAATTATTACTTTGGAGCAAAATAAATCTAACGCTGTGTTTGTAACTTAATGTGACGTTTCACTGACGTCACATTTTAGTTTCTATAGCAGCCGATGGTTGGTCACGCATGGTCGCTAGCGATCCTAAAAAAAACTGCAATTTCAAACAGGCATGATTAATTACAGAATGGATATTATGCCAAAATATTTAGGAATTGGTATGTCTGATTCTCATTAAATCAGGGAAAATTGTTACTGGGAAGTTCTATTTTCGTTTCATGACCCCTTTAATTCCATTAGCTATTATTTTTGTAAATAGTTTGTTGAGAACTGACAGTAAGCTGATTGGCCTGTAATTTTTCAAGTGGTTGACATCTCATATTTATGGATGAAGATGATATTGGCGTTCTTCTAAGATTTTGGTACCCTTCCCATCAAGAGACACTTCGTTTAAAAGGTGGTCAATTTTTCTAACGCAATTTCTCCGCCATCTTTCAGGAGATCCGTTATTACCTTATCCTCACCTACAGCTTTAACTCTTTGCATTCCTTCTAGGGTTTTTGTTACTTCCCCTGTCGTTACTGGTGAGATGTCGAATTCCTCTGAACTATTACACCTTCTCACTATATCATCCTGGTTGTTTTAGCTTCTGTACAGCTCTGTATATAGAACTCCTCCGCCACCTTGACTATGCCCTCCATATTGGTTATGACAATGCCTTCCTTGTTCCTCAATGCATACATTCAAATTTTGCCTATGCACGAGTCTGCCTTCGCAGCGTTTGGGCTTCTGCCACTTTTTACAGCCTGCTCAATTCTTTCTATGTTATACCACCTGATGTCGCCTACCTCACGCCTATTTATCAGCTTCGAAAGCTCCACTAGCTCTATCTTGTCTTTGATACTAGTAAGATTATCGTTCATTGTGTAAACGTCGCTTATCTGGTTTAGTGCATTGAATCTATTCTGAAGCAAGACTCTGAATTCCTGTACTTTCCCTCTTACCGCCAGTTCATTAATTGGCTTCTTGCCTATCGGTTTTTGTCCGATTTTTTAAAATCTAGGTGAATAAGAGCTCTTACCATTCTATGGTCACTGCATCAAATCTTGCCAACTACTTCTACATCCTGTACGATGCTTGGGTGTGCATACAGAACAAAGTCTATTTCATTTTTAGTTTCGCCGTTAGGGCTTCGCCACGTCCACTTACGATTAGCCTGTTTTTTGAAGCAGATATTCAAGATCGCGCAAGTTATTATGTTCTGCGAACTCTATTAATAACGCCGACGCTATACTACTCCCACTGTATGGTTTCCGGCCTGTTTCTTGCGTACTTTGGCATGAAAGTCCCTCATCAGAATAGTATACTGTCTTTACTTTAATAATGGCTGAATCTACGTCTTCATAGAAGCGTTCTACCAAATGATCATCATGGCTCGACGTAGGCCTGTACCACATGCACCGTATTATTACAAGTACTAATATGATTTCTATAGTCTTAAAAGTTTACTGGTAATAATTCAAAGCCCTATATGAGGTTGTTGCAGCCTTAAAAAATAACTATCAAATTTTTTTTTTCCCTGCATCACCCCTCGCTCTCGCTTTATGATTCTCCTGAATTTTGAAGTCGCCATGTTGGTAGAGTGCTATCTTAGACTACAGATGGTTCTGATTCTGCATCAAGAATTCTCCGCCCAACTAGACAGATATCTCATTGAAGAACACATTTACTTCTAAAAAAATTTGCCTTTCTTGGTCATTTCATGTCGGAGTATTACTTTACAGAAGGTATAACAAATAGCAAGCAGTGGCTGTTTTAGCTACGTGAATCCCACAGAGCTTCTCATAAATGTTTGGATTTTTTAATTAACACATTTAAGAAGCAGGATATTTGTCAAGAGCATATAAACGACATTTCAAAGTAGCATAAAAAATTTGATTTCAAACTACAAATATGAAAACTTCATCTTCCATGAAGGTGCATCCACGGACATCCATTGAAGACCAAGGAGAGCTTTCTTCCCTTCTGCAGGTCCCTCTTGTTGTAAGTAGCAATTCTGTCACATTCAGTGTATTTGTGTTGCCACCAGTGTTACATCTACATCTCTAGTGCTGGCATGCAAATGGAAGTTCATGTAGTTTGAGCAAGTATGCACTGTACACGGGAATAAACAGGACTTTTTTTTAATTACCAAAGCGAAAGTGTCTTGGACTTGTTTTTGTCGTCCTTTAATTAAGCATTTAAAAAAAAACTGTTTGGTAACACTGCTAGAACTATACACTCGCAGACAACCTAAAGACTCCACTAAAGTGAACCTGCCGTTCACCTAAAAGCCCTACCAACGGGAGTCTGCTCTCCCCTAGTATTACCATATGAACTCTCGTATTGATCTCGCCTCTTTTTTTTTTTTTTTCTTTCTCGGAGAAGTTGACGCCAATTGGGCTGAGGGCTCATTATGAGAGAGAAAAGGTCATGTGAATTATAACAGCCAAAATATCACATTACAATATTAAGGAACTTGCTGTCCAATGGCTTCTTATTTTCAAATCAGTGGCAGGAATGCGGTGCCTTTATACCTATTCGAGGACTTTGCTCTCAACAAGAAGAAACTGTTCTTGGCTGGGGCTGTGAAATGGCTGTGAAATGTGTGACAAACATTTTTTGTGGCCCGAAGCTCTTGTTTTTTTTTTGCAACGAACACGCACGGATCGACACTGAAATGTCTTCCAGCTGCTCAGTTCCCATGCTCAGGCGCATGCTCGACCAACATTAAGTTTAAAACGGACTGTATAGCTAGTGTACTGCAGGGGTGAGACAACTGCACATATTGCACATTTTTTATACGCTTGTTTTCTTGCGCCAAGCTGCTCCAAATGCATAAAAATTTCAACTGCGCCGAACTGCTCTGAAACAAGCAAGAATTTTGATGCAACCTCAGCTTGCGTGGGGAAAAAAGGCTTAGTTGACTACATGATTTTCCGTACAGCGCCAGGAATACGAAGAAAACAAGACGCTCCCTAGTGTGTTCTTTACTTGACACCTTTCTGGTGACGCAGGCTTTCACGGTCCTGCGGACTGTTGCAAATATGTGTGACCCCCGAAAAATGTTCTGCCGCCAATATCACTTCACGAAAACCGCCAAGTTAGCCACCCAAACTGAGTGGCATGAAGAGTGGGATTTTTCGACTCTCAGGTTCTTTGTTGTGCATAACACGTTCCTCCAGTCATTGCAGTTTTCATGTGGACACTGCTGCGTGCGGTCGCCTATGCGCGCGTGTTCCGCACATTGGTGTCTGCAGGCAGCGAGAGACCCACATAGTAGCAGCACTAAATACTCGTCCATAGTGCACGGTATGGAACTTGCATAATTTGCAAACACGTGGTGTTCAAACCAGTTTAAACGGACACCTCGACGCTTTGTTCGTTACTAATGAGGCCTCGCCGATCAAGTGGCACAGTTTTCATAAACGGTAATTTGCGATACTGCTCCGTTTTGTAATCGAAACTCGCAACGAGCATTCCAAGAGGCATCACTGCGTGCCGGCTCTGGGCTACGCGAGCTTTAGGCTTACCTTTACGTTCGACTGGTGTTTTGGTTGGTGGGCGTTCCGCAGTGTGACTGGCATACTTTTTTTTGTTTTCAATGAATCTGGCCTCTATTCGTTCGATGGTTCGTTTGCGTGGAGTGGACAGCGTGGTGGTATGGGAGGAAAATCGCAAGTTGATGGCAATAGGTATTAAAGAAAATAGAGCAGGCTAACGTGGGCAGTACTGACACGTCGTTGCACGCATCGAGAGGCGTTATCACCTAGTAACATCCGCTGATCACTTAGCGCCATATGCACATGCTTTACGAGATAGTCGGTGTGGCAAGGTTTCTTGACCCCTGTGCCGCACTCTTGAAAGTGGTCTCCCACAAGGTGGCCGCGAACGGCAGTGCATCGCATTTTTGTTGTTGGTTAAAAGCTTGCAGTACACTTGACGATAGCATGCCACTCCCACTGTTACGCAGCGATGATTCTTGTGCAATCGCAATTTTTAAAATTCTTTACGAGTGTCATGCGTTTTTTTTTTTAAATGGTGCCGGCGAACCTAGTTTTCAAAATCTCTTTAAAATATCTCGCGTTTGTCACAAGGGCTGGATAGGGTGCGTGGTACGTAAAAAGGTAGTGCAGTTCATACCTGGTTATAATCTGTTCAAAAACTTTTTAAAAGTCTGTTTCAGTGTAATGTGTATTATAAGTAAATTGAAATATGCACTTGTGTCCCCATGTTGCTAAAAATTTGCTTTTTCAAGCTACCAGGACGACATATTAAATGCTGCGGACTGCTCCAAAGTGAGGTTCGTCTGCTCCGACATTGAAAGTTTGCTGCTCCACCAAACTCAGTCTCACACCTGGTACTAGCTGATCAAGCCCTGCGCAGCAGGTGTCCAACAAAGTTCACTATAACAATGCCAACAAAAAAGAGGGGGGGGGGGGGGGGGTTTGGCAATGTCAGATGGCAGCGAATGCACGTTCCATTGTTAGCACAGTTATGGCAGAGCGTGATTGTGCATTGTTTTTTGCTTTATTTTCACGCCACTGTGCTTGCATGGCGCTATAAGCTAAGAGCTTTCTTCTGCGTTCAACAGATAGTGCTTTGCTGTAAGAAACGCGACTTTTAATTGATGCCGTACACACTCGCGCTGCTCGCATCTGTTTAATATGGTTGTTCAACTATGTTTTAACTTTTATTGCATCATTATTTTGTGATAAAATGGTGTGATTTAACATTTTTGATTGTTAACAACATTGGCTATCACACCGAAATAAAATGAACAGATGCAATAAAATATAGCTTTTTTTTTTTCCAAGGACCAAGGCAGGTGGTGGGTTCATTACGCGAGTAAATACGGTATACGTTAGGCTTATTGTAAATTTGTTGTCTTTAGCTAAAATCTCTTTGTTAAAGCATCGGTGTCAGGATTGCATGTAAAATTTACAAAAACGGGAACACTGATATATATTTGTAGGGTAAATTCGAATGTTCTAATCGTGCAAAGGGGTTTTATATCATGCAGAGGAACAAGTATAATTGGCTGTTGTCACTGTATATTCTTAACTTCTTGATAGCTGTAAGAGGAGCCTATTTGTAATTTTTAGGTTTTCACCAGTTGTAGAGTCTATATCTGAGTTACGTAGGGTATCGAAGCAATGCACATTACCGTCTTGCCCTTTCTGCGTGTCAGACGTACGTATCATAAATACTCATTGCTTTACCTTCAATACCTTTATGAGCGTCTTGAAAAATATATTCTGAGAGAAGGGCATTTTCGTTGTGACAGATATTTCAGAGTATCTTGTACTCGATATTTCTAGTAAATAAGCAGGAAAACAGTAAAACCTGATTAAATTAAACTTCGTTATTTCACAATTCAGTGGAATGTGTGCCAGCAGAAAGGAAGAGGTACTCCACTGCGACACAGTGGTGACATGGGCGCAGCATGGCATATGCTTCTCGCAACATCGGTTTGTCATAATAAAGGCAGTCTGACGGGATTTCCGATTTATACTTGCCTCCAACCGACGGTTACTCCGGCAATTTTCACAGTTGCATTGCTGGTGAAGTTCTGGCCTGCAACACCTACTTCAAAAACTCTGTTCAAAAACTTCAATGATCATGTTTTCCAGCCAAAACACATAGCGAATTTCTTCCCACTGGCCAATAAATTCTTTATTTTACCAAAAAAAAGGGCAAATGATTGAATCACAATGTGCCGACGCTGTGAGGAACAGGTGACATGCTACCTGTATGTCACTACTATGTTGTAATGAAGCACCTGCTCTTTTCTCTGACCATGAGACCATTTTCTCTTGCACTGGCAGCAGCAAGGCCTGTTGTTCTCCTGTGTTTGTGGCAAAATTTGGATAAGGTATTGCAGGAAAAAATAACCCTTGGAGCCGCAAACTAACCAGCAAAGCAAATAACTACCTTTGATTACTTTATATAATTGAAAGTTTCTTTCACCCCACTTTTTGTATGTTTTGTTAATTCAAAAACCCACTTAATTTGAAGATCACCAAGCATATCAGCAATTAAAGAGCGTCGCTGATACACTATTTTGCCCTCTGCTTGCATGCGGCAGCTCTCCCGGCACGCGTGGATAGTGCGCGTGCAGGCGTGAGTAAATACGGTATCATGTACAAGTCTGGTATGTATCTGCATGGATGTGCATGCATGTTTTATTTAGCTGACATTCACAGGAAGAGAAAAAAAAAGTGGCAGGTTTTGGTTTTGCTGTGGCTTTGAAACATTTAATAAAAACAATGCTTACACTAGAAGATGTATGATAAATTTGCTTGCGATAGAAAAAACAAACAAACAAAGAATTGCCAGTTGCTTCAGTTTACGATGCTAAGTGAGAAAAGAAATGAACGTTGTGGCATTTCTTAATGTTGAAATATTTTGTAATGTGCTGTATTGTGGTATTGCATTGTCAGGGCTCTTGACAGCCTGCTTTGTGTCTGTGCAGGCGGGCACAGTGAATCGAGGTAGCGACGTAGTTGGTGCAGGGATGGTGGTGAATGACTGGTGTGCTTTTTGTGGCATGGATACTACAAGCACAGAGCTCTCAGTAGTGGAGAGCGTCTTCCGGCTGAATGAAGCTACTCCTGCGGCCATCACAACCACTATGAAGGCGTCTTTGATTGAGAGGTAATTTAGAAGCATGAAAGGGCAATATCATTGCCGGTTGGCCGTAGAGCCTGCTTTGCAAATTGCCAAAGAGTTGCAAGTCCAACTCCGTGGGTGCGGGTTGGATTGCTAGTCATAACAGGGGAATTTCAATGAGTTGAAGTGTACAGCCGCGGCCCTGTGTATAGTACATGAGCAGCTGGCCTTGCTCTGCGGCGCGACACCTTGTGGCCATTGTGGGATGTTACGTCGCGTGCACAGGAGCATGCGTGGCCTTACAAACATGCAGGCCTGCTCTGCATGGGTCACAACATTATTAGGTATGTCGAAGATCTGCGCTCGCTCAGGGAGCTTTCATCATATCTATTTCATAAGACAAAGCTCGTTTCGACTGATAACACATAGTTGCATAAATGATGCACTCTTAGTGGCCGTCTACAATTTTTTTTTCTTACGCAGCTGTTGGCATTATCATACTTCATATAATCTCATGCCTCAAAACAGCCACAAAGTGGGCATAGTTGATGCGGGCGCATTTTATCAGTTAAAACGTGCTTCGTCTTATAAAATAGATGTGTGATGAAAGCGGACCTTTCTCGCTGCGGTGGTATAGTGTCCGCTGCTGACCCGCAGGTCGCGGGATCGAACCCTGGCTGCGCCAGCTGCATTTTCAATAGAGGCGAAAATGCTGCAGGCCTGTGTGCTCAGATTTGGTTGCACGTTAAAGAACACCAGGTGGTCGAAATTTACGGAGCCCTCCACTACGGCGTCTCTCATAATCATATACTGGTGGTTTTGAGACGTTAAATCCCACATATCAATCACGTGCAGATCTGCTAAGCAAGCACACCTTCCATTGTTGTCACCTGTGCAGAAGAGGCCTGCACGTGCACACGACGTGTTCGTGGCTGTACAAACACCTGTACAGATGCACTTTGGGGAGCCCCAAGTGATCAAGATTGATGTAAGGTCCTCCATTGAGGTGTGCCTTATATATTGTGGTCCCATGCATCCATTTTCTGCAGCATGACCAGTACACCTTCAAAGAAATAAAATTGAAACCAAAGCTGGTTCATAGAAAATGTATTATAGTAAACTATTTGAGTTGCTCTGAGACTTGCAAGCATCTTTTTTTTTCCCCTTAGGCTTTGAGGGTCGAGAAGTTTTATAATGGCAAAGAAATGGGAATGTTTTAAATTTCCGTTAGTAGTTGTTCTTAAAAACTTTCTACTCCTATGTTAACTTCATATAGTAATGATTCCATCTCCTGAAACCTTATTGCATTATTGATTGATATCATATGTGCAAGGGTGCAACGGCTGCCAACTTGATACGATTCCCCATTCTTGCACTGAGCTGCGCCAAAACCATGAAATTTGCTAAAATTGCGCCATGCTGTGCCAAAAAACCTGACCAGTCTCGAAGTTTTCTCATTTGTGCTAATTTCAGCGAGAAACGGCATCCACGTTGGCTATATGCTTGGAGTGGAGTTTGCGCAATTAATCAATCCAAGTGCGCAGATCCTAACCCTAAATCATGGTGAAAAACCCATTAGGTCACGGCACTCTCAACACGCGATCGACCAGATAAAGTAACAAAGCCGTGCGACATCGATGCGGATGCCTATCGGCAGACACAACTTGAGACAAAAAAGCGTTGCGTAGCCACCAACGCTTTGCTATAAATATGAACTTCCTAGTCTGCAAGCCTGGCTATGGCATGTTAGCAACTGAAGCTGGAAGTGTATTATGCGTTTCCCATGCGTGAACAGACTCGACGTGCTGCGAAAACCGTGTTGCTGGCAACCACATTGATTACCATAGCAACGACGCATAAAACATTTTTCTGTATTGAAGTTGCGTCATCCATATCCGGTGCCATTGTCGAAGCAACAAGCACTCGCCTTTGTTACTTTATCTGGTCGAACGCGCCTTGCAAGCGAGACATGAAGTTGTGTATAAACCTAATCTCATCACGAAAAAAGAAAAAAAAGAGGGGGCGGGGCATAGTCGTGTATCATGACTTGTTCAGACTCGTGCAGAAGGCTGCTCAATCCACCTTCGCCGCAGTACATCAGTGCCCTGCGGAAAAGCACGTTTTGATTTTGAAGGGACTATTAGCGTTTATGACGGGAGACTTATTTTGTTCAACTACTCATGCGTGTATACAGTGCATACTTGTCAGTACTAGTAGAATAGACGACGTCTGAAAAAGTTGCAGGCAATTATTTGGAGCAGTGTATGACATTTTTGGCGCCCTAAAAAACTGTGTGCCAGTTTTTATTTTTCGCCACCCCAACAAATTGCTGAATTTCAAGCTCGCCAGGTCCACATTTTAATTCGCAGAGTCAGCCATGGCAAATGCTAATGTGGAAGTTATTTATATTTGCTTAGTGTGGTGGTTCATAATACTAATTTTTTTGAAATAGCAATGCTCTTACTCACACTGCACGATATCAGAGCATGTTGAATGATTTGTACATATTTTCTTATCTAAATATAAGACTTCCTTTTCATGCTGCTCCAAATTTGGATTTTTGTGCTCCAAAAGTACCATTTTACTGCTCCAAAAATTGCTTCTTTTTAATTTTGGCTGTTGCACCCCTGTATGTGTGTGGGCTAAGTTAATTTGAACTGTAAATATTTATTTTTCAGATACAGATTTAGATTAAAAAAATAAGTTGGCATCTCTAAATTGGTGCTGTTCTTTTCTTTCTCTCTCCCTTTTTTCTTTTTCAATTGAAAGTGCTGACTTTTTGTTTTACAGCATGTAAATAGTACCCAGATACCTGTAGAATGACGGAAAGTTGATCCAGTTGGTATGGATTGATGTTAAGAAACAGTGGTTGTACAAACATGGGCACAAGAGAGACGTCAGAACAGCGAAAATGCAAGCATTTGTGCTGTGCTGGCTTCTCTTTTGTGCCAATCTTTGCACTCCCACTGTCCATTCACATAAATCCCTACCGTCTAGATCAGTCTTTTAAGATTAACCCAAATACAATTGATATTGATCAGAACGTAGATGTAAAGGTGGACAGGCACTTGTGAATGAGTAGTGACGCTGTGTGAAAGATCTGGTATAAGTGCATGAACAGACTGGAATACATTTTTATGAATAGTACAAACTTTGAAGGTGGCTTTTTTAAACTCTACATATAGTGATACCATTTTCATGATTGGTGTATGCGCGCAACCATGTGAATGCAACCATGTGCATTTTGGTTTGTGGAAATTGCATAACTTCGCAGTGTTTGTGTTTACAATGTGCAATAGCTACCCTTGTACAGATAGACCACTTATAACGTCGCGGGAGTTGCGAATATCCGTACTATAAGCAGTACCGCACTATAAACAAAATAGCCTTTTTCAAGGGCCGCACTTGCGCCAAACGTGTTTAGCATGCAGCCTCGCGTGTTTGAGAATCGAAGCATGCGATGCGTGATGTTTACAAGCGTACAAATTTTTACAAGCGTATAAAAAAAATTTACATTCAAAGATACACGTTCCCAACGAAATTAATGCGAAAAAGAGTGGGGGGGGGGGGGTGTCTAACAAAATAAAGCACCGTTGCGGAAATTTTCAGACTACTTCTCAGATCGCCTCGATTATGCGCATTGCACAGAAACTATGTCAAATCACGTTCAAAATTTCACGCGCTGAAAGAGGCCAATCGTTCGATTTCACGAGCGTGCACCCGATTTCAAGACATTGTAATCAAATTGCGAACCATCATTTGAGCACCACATGTGTCAACCTAGTTTTCATTAACGATGTGTATCCCTTCCCGTCAAGTGCAGCCACCGCAGAGAGTTTCATTGGTTCTGTAGCAAAGTGCGACTTATAGATAGCACGTGACCCCTACTAAAACGCATCTAACGCCGATTAAGCCTAGCCTGCGTTCAGTATGTTGTTGCGGGAAGTTTAATACATAAAGATCCGGTGTCGAAAAGGTAGCACTCAAGCACTGAACCAAGAACAGCGTGCTTGATACGAAGTTCGCATATGCAAGATCAACGACAAAAACTTGCCAAGCTTACATAAGACCGCTCACTGGCAGCAAAGGGAAAGGCTCGCGTCATGTAACCGTAAATGTTTTTAAATTTATGGAAGCGATAGCAAACGCGATATCTGTAGCAAGCTCAATAACGGCGATGCTTTTCCCAATGGGAAACTACCGTTGATAAAAGACGGGATTACACATCCCTTGTTGAGCTGCATGCGGCCAGAGCCATGCTAGCGACGCGTTGACGCAGGTGCAAAGGCGGTGAGCCCTTTCAACGTACTGGGGTATTTTTCCCTTTTCTTCCCTTCGTTCTTTCACTCCGTGTCCTCTCTGTAATGACCTCGTCACTCTCTCCAGCGGTGCCCCCAGCGCGCGCCCTCCTTTGAGTGAATTTTCTACTGTGTTTGTCACAAAGATTTTCCGGCAACCGCGTTATAACGGGTCTTTTATCTTGGCGAACTGCTCACTAAGCGGCATGCATATACATGGGGTTCTATGAGAGGGTAAACGGGAGTCGAAAAAGACAGGATTGTAAACGGTTTTGCAATACAGTAAAATCTTGTCAATTCGACCGCCGTTAATTTGGAATATCGGTCAATTCGGCCACGGCGTCTGGTCCCGTCAAAAATGTACATTGTTCTGCGACTGAAAACTCTTATTAATTCAGACAAATTCGGCTGCGCTTCTTTTAATTCGAACGCCCGATCGCGGTTGAGTCGCGACAGGGAAGCAGCAGCGAATTCTGTTCGCCAAATAGATGGCACACCTAAACAACTTTGGGTTCGGATTGCGGCCTCTGAGATTCAAAACTTCGTCCATGGGTAGTACATCTCGGAAACACTCTAAACAAAAAACACGCGCTGGTTTAAACAACCAAAATGGAAGGCAGTGCGTCGTTACTGTCATCAGCAACGGGCAACTCATGGATTTGCCTTTCTTTTTTTCTTGCATGTCGAACACGTTTGCGTGATGGTTGAGTTGGATTGCGCACCTCTAGTGTGCTTTAAATTATTTATCTGTATGTGATCAGTGCCATATGCAGTATTACTGTTTGCTGTGTTTTTGAAAGGCTCGCCAGTTTTTATTTCTTTTTTTATCACCGTGCGTTTTTGTGTGTGTGTTGTCTACTTCGTGCGTGCGCGAGCAACACCAGCATAGCTTCCCTTCCATCTCCTTCGGCCCCAACCGTCCCAACGAAGGTGTCCAGGCTCGAGAACATTGAAGTGCTATTTCTGCCTCTGAACACAATGGCTTCCCTGCAGCTTATGGACCAGGGAATCATACAGTTCGTGAAAAGCCACTATCGACGGTAGATACTCAAGCGGATGTTGCTCTGCATGGAATCAGGCAAGCAGTACGAAGTAAACCTGCTAAGCGCAATCCACATGCTGACAAAACGTATGAAACAACAACACCGCCTGCAGTAGTAGTCTCAAACTGCTTTAGGCATAGCGGCTTCGTGCACGACGCTGCTGATTGGGTGTGGTGGCTGATGACGAAACCGGCAAAGAGCAAGACTGCCGCTATGTGAGTATCATGCCAGCTGATGTGCCCTTTGGCGTTTACTTCGCAATTGACAGAGATATTGCTGTGGCCGGCACAGTGACCGACAAAGATATCGACGCCGAAGTCTTTGACGGCAAAGGGGAATAGACTGAGAAGGACGGAAATGATGCTGATGAGCGTCCACGCTACACAATGACGGAGGCTGCGCATGAGTTGGCTTTTTTGAAGGATATATGCATGCTTTCCTCGGACAGTGTGCGCGGACTAAGCCACCTGCAGGAACTTCGCAAAATTGTGACTTCGTAGCACATTGCGTCCGTGAAGCAAACGCGATCACAAACTTTTTTTAAGAAATAAGTCTGATGTTGTAGGAGACATTTTTCAAGTGTTTTGTTCGTACTCGCGATAATTCGTACTCTCGGGTAATTCGGACATTCTCTCCAGTCTTGTGAAGTCAGAATTGACGGGTTTTACTGTATAAGCGGTTACGTTATAAATGATCTACTCTGTATGCTGCTTAAACTATACCACACATTCAACTTTTGAATGTCTGTTGGTGTTTGTTGCATTTTTTGGCCCTTAATCATATTGTCCGAATCTTTGCCTTTAAGTTTGGAATAAATGTCTAATGTAATTATTTTATTCTGTCATTCTAGTATGACTTGATGCCTGTGGAGAAGAGTCAAGGTTGCTGTCCATCCAAGAGCGTCCCATGTACAGAGAAAAAAAAACATGCCCTTCTTTATCGAACTCTTTTAACACACGTGAATTACTGAACATGCATTGAAAGGCATTAAAAGATACTGCTTGCACAGAATTCAGTTTCCTGCTTTTCATTGCTCTGAACATTAAGTGGAGCTTTGTTCTTGACGTACCAGATTTGGGAGGTGTTAGCCACCTTTTCATTGTAAGGTGTACTAGCAAAATTGTCCCCCAGGTCCAAATTTGCTCATATGTTTTTTTTTGCTTCGCTGGTGAGCATTGCATGTACAATTGCAGCAGCACAATTAGTGTACAGTGCACGTAAAGGCTACGAGTGGTGCTCACTGACACGCCCAAGTTTACATGCAAATCAATATCCGATAAAGTGGATGTGAGGAAAACTGCTGCCGTAGTTCAATCGGTAGAGCATCTGGCACATTCTCCGAAGGTTGCAGGTTCACTCTCTGCTGGTGGCAAGTTGTCTTTTCATACACTATAATTCTTCACATTTATATCTTAACTACTATGATACAGTTAAAGCAGTACAATTATCATTCCTATACCTTCCTTAGCCTGATGATCTGTAGTTCTTGAAAATTTTCATTCTAATGTTCTTACAAAGAACTTTAATTACCTTTTTTTGTGTTTCAAGAAAAAAAAAGTGCCCTCTCTAGAACAATTTTGTCGAAATATTGAGCTCCCCCTTTCCCCGATTTTTATTCATTTCGTAGAGTGGCAGAAACCATGCTAACATGAGCTTTGCTAACATCATAGATGAACTATACATTAAGGGATAAAACTCTGTCTATCCAATAAAACGTGCGCTCATTTGAAATGCATTAAATTGCTCTTGAAACGCCACATTTCTTTTGTACAAATTGGCAGCAGCCAACATGAATATTTGTTTCAGTTGCAGGTGCAGTTGTTCGAGGCTGTTGTTCAAATCATAATCATTGAAAGGAAGTAAAGCTATGCCACTGTTGTAGACTATACAGACACGTGAAGAAAAATGGACAAGCTGGGGTGCCTGTACACAGTGCTGCTTTTTTCTAATCCAACCTGTTCTTTAAAAGACATCCTGCAATACTTTTCTGAGTAATCATTGAACGGCTTCTTTAAAAGAGCTTGTTGCCTCGCAAATCGACTGCCGCAAAAATTTTCAGAATCCATCAAGTACAAGTGGCTGGGATCAGTTGCACACTTCAACTACTTTCTCTCTCCTTTCACACCAGCGAGTGCGCTAAAAGCTATGCATAGGGGAACGACAAGGGTGCGGGAAGATGCATTCATTCAACAGCACACTTCATTACTTTGAGCACTTCTATTTCTTTGTTTTTGCTTTTCAGTATGATCACGAATGCACGTGCAGGCACATGGTGGCATTTTTCTGCGGCCATGGTAAATATGCAGCTTATTAGACTCAAATCAGCCAACGGCTGTGGACTTGAAATTTATGGTGCACTCATTTGGGTTTATAGCCTTACTTGTCAAGAGAAGATTAAACTAATTTTAGCTGACTTTGAGAATTAGTTTTAAATTTCAGGCCATGTGCAGCTCTACAATGTTTGACCCGTGTTCTCAGGAACCTCGACTACCAACAGTATTTCTGACCATGCTGAAAAAGCGTTGTAGGGCTTATTTAACGAACCAGTTTTGGAGGGTTCACGTCTCTTCCGAAACTATAATTCAGATAGCTTTGTTTTCTTGAATTACACCTAGAAAGATACATAAGCTAAATGTGTAACAATACCTGACAAAAGGCTTTTGTACTGGTTTTACAAAAATAGTAAATAACGAATATATAGTTAATTGTTTGCAGCACACAAAATGTTGCTTGAACGTGAATTGAAGGACAATAAAAAACTATGAAAAGACAAACAAAAACTCAATAAGTGCAGATTTCGCAACATGTACTGACAGAAGTAGAAAAGGTTCTTTTGCACAGACAAGCAAACAATTTGTGATTGAGAGCATACATGCTAAGTATGTTTCTTTAATGATAATATATGTGTCAATACAAAAGTACTGAACATCAACAAATTAATAAACAACAAAAAAGATTTAAGATGAAAGCGCTGTTAAATAAATGCATGACAGGTCATCATGCACAAACAAAAATGCATATTTGTAAACAATATAATAAGCAGTGTATTTTAATTATATAACCTGACTGTGAGCATGTTATTTACCAAGACCCTCTTTAGTTGTTTTTTAGAGAATTTTGGACTTACATCAAAGTCCAAATCATTTTGAATCTATTAAGAAGACATGGTTTGATAGTGCACATATCTCTTACCATAAGTCCGTACTATTGGCATGTGTCGTTTTTTTTTTTTTCTCTAAAGTAGCACGTTGATTCATTGTTGCTTTTATAAATGCATGATTTTTCATGATGTACCAATGGAACCAGCTTGAATTCCTTAGTCAGCCTTTAACAAATGGTGCTTAAGAAATTATGGTGGTGTCTTCGCTGTGTGGAACACAGCGTAGTACACGTATTTTGTAAGAATGATGTATTAATAGTTACCTAGTGATGTCATCCCTCTTACCAGGAATCTGCTCATACTAAATATTCATAGCATCATTTTCAGTAAAAGAGTGCATAATACATTGTTTTCATTAGCTGCACAGGGATGAAAGTGGCTGCTTTGTATAAACATCCCACACATGTTGCAAGTTACACTGCAAGACCTTTAATATGTGCATTCTAGGATAGGGGCTCTTCAAACCGAGGAATTTCTGCGTGGTGATTGCATGCATTTGAGTAACTTAACGATGAAAACAAGACTTTGCCCTTTGCTATTCCAACATCTTGTTTCTTCGAGTATTCTTCGTTGTCGATAATTTGGAAAATATTCAGCATTTTGAATATCCACTATTTGATGTGAGTACCAAATTAATATAGACCTGTTTGATTCTTTATTTCAAATTTATGAATATTCACACACCCCTAATTGTGATAAGGGTGGTTAATTTCAGAGAATTTCACTTTAGCGGTGGCTCTATAGAAATTAGTGTGTACACACATACTTTTGTGTCATGTTATGCATGCAATGCTGATCTAATGATCAGAGCATGAGCAGGTAGGCTGATGTTTGATTCCATCATCAGACACTCAAGTCTTTTGTTTGGCTTTTTCAAAAGTGTCAACACAGAAACTACCAAGGATTGACAGGTAGCCCCTGGGCTATATTTTTAAACAATCAAATTGTTATAACAGTAAAAAAAAATGAGTCGATGACAGCTGCATACTTTGTACACTTTATAAAATGTACCACTTTATAAACACTTCATAAAATGTACCTTAATTGACACTTTATAAAATGTACCTCAATTTGATATAATTCATGTACTGCCTCAATGCTATGATTCCATTGTACCCTTGGCATTATCTCACATGCTCGTAGATGTAGTGTAACAGTAATGAGAAGCATTCATAACCTCACCATAAAAAAAAAAGGGGGGGGGGGGGGTCGTGAATAAGTGAACCTTGGGCACCTAAGTTTGCATAGGAAGGCCCCTGTTCTGGTGCAACTATAGACTTCATCCTTCTGCATTGTGTGGCATGGATTTGCGCTAGTGGCGAGCGCACATCCAAGGAAGCCTCCGTTGTTGCGCGGATTCAAGTTCTACCACGGAGCGCCAATGGCACTGACAGCAATAGGCCCGCCAACCTGCATAGCAGCAGCACAGAACACACTAGCAGGTTTTCTTTAGACTATGGTATATCAAGCTTAATCAGCAGATAGTTGCTCTACCAAGTTTCCGGACAAGCCTTGAGCGAAGCCTCTTTACGTCGGGAAAAATGTTCCTGAAGAACAGGTAGTCTGCAGTCTCGCCCCAGACATAATCTTCGAATACAGCAACTTGGAAGTCGCACTTGCAGCAGTGAATATGACTGCAGGCCCTGCGGTAATTTAAGAAACACTCGCTTATTGCTCTGCACTGGTCACCAAATTGAAACGCATGCCGATGGCTATAAAATGCGAAAACCTTCTTGATGCACTCGTGGACACTCCAAAGACCACATCCGTGCCGCCAAGGTAGACTATAAAACACCTAATTACAAAATGACAACACACATTGCGCAGCCGAATAATCCTTGGGCGCGATAGAGCATAAAAAGTAGTTTACTTACTGGATAGTTTTACGACCGCTTAGCTTACTTTCCGTGAGATCACTCTCAGGAACCTGTATAGAGAAGCGACACGGTAAGCTACATGTAACAAGATCCTAGCGTGATCAGTGGTGTATGCACCACTGATCACGCTGTTGTTGTACATACGTTTAGCCCGGGGACTCTACATATTTCATTTATAGCTTCTTCAATGCTGTCATCAGAAGAAGTTCTGAAAACCAATAGGTTATCGTGATGCACATAATCTAGCGAAAGAAGCTGCATGTAGTACGTTACCCAGCTGTAGGCGCAGATGCTTGCTGGCGAATGTGTTCACAGTACTTCGCTTCGACATCATCTAGAAGATCATCTATGTCGTCTTCCACTAGCATTTCATGTAATCAGTTGTAAACTTTAGTTTCTGCCTTCTTCTACGTACGAAAATACATTCTATGTAACCCGCAGGAACCGCAGTCGCTGGTATATGCAAAGCCGCTGTGGTTGTCATGACATCATGCGGTCACATGGGTTTTCATTATTGTAGGCAGCTTGTAGGCCAAGCAGGTTCTATACTCTATGTCTTCTGGAGTGGAGGTGCACCCTAATAAGTGACGCCGGTCACCGCCATATTGGAAAAGGAAAGACCCGGAAGCAGACGACAAAGTGCGCTTCTTAACTCCGCCCTCGCAGTGGTCTTTGGAGACTGTGACACGCTTTTGTAAAGCAGTTAAAAATTTTTACAAAACCCTGGTGACTTCGTGCGTCGCTTATGGCTGCACAAATCGCATTAAAAAGACGCCTCGGATCACTTTTCACGTGTAAGTATTCTTGCTTCGTTCGCTGACGATCGCCTCTTTTTTCGCGTATTTTGTTAAACTATAAACAATATCAAAGGTGTGCATGCGTGTAATACATGCGTATAGCTGTATGTAAGGTAACTTGAGGCTTTAAATGCTCGCTGACATGACGTTGTCCCTGAGTTTCAAGTTTATGGATGAAGGACTTGTGGCCTATGGCTGCACGTATCAAACATTTGAACGAGTAGGACGTCTGAATGCCCTTTGAAATCCAAATTTTCTGGTGTTGTCTTACAAGGCAATACTGACAGCGTGCATGCATATTTTTTTTGGCGAGTGAATATCTAATTTAGTGCATGTTTATCGAGGAATTCGCAAACGTACAAAACAATTCCATGCCGTGATTATCCGTGTTAGAGGTTTCTGAAAGACAGTGCGCTGCGTTCTGCCTGGGAACGTGCTGTTCGAAGAAATAGTTAGAGGGCTACGGACGGTGACCACATCTGTTCAATTCACTTCGAAGAATGCTGCTTCGACAGAACGGGGCAGACAACCAGACTGCGGCCTGGCAGTGCATCTTCGATTTTTCCTGCTTTTCGAGCGTATCTGCAAAAACCTCTTAGTTTCTACCTTCTTGACGTAGATTCAATAGAATGTAGTCACAAAAATAAGCAATTGCGTCTAAAACAAGATGAGACACTTTTGAAATCCGTTCTATCTTGCCAACGAAACCGAAACCAAAACGCCGACAGACGGAGTTGTCAAAATGAGTGAGTGGCGTATATCAAACATCAAGCTACCTCGTTTCTAGGCTCTGAAGACTGCGCTTGCCATGGCAACACACGTTGCCAACGGAAGTTGATAAATATTGTGCATAGTTAACACCACTGCAATCGTTCTTTTAAACGGTTCATTTGGGGTACGTTTCCTGGAGTTCGTCAGTTGCACGCGACATCGGTGCCTCGGTTTTGGTTCCGCCTGTAAATTGGTTAGAATTCGATAACTCTAGAAAAATTACTGGTCACTCCCAGTTTACTTAATTACCTCTCTTTTCTAACTTTAGCTTTAATTATTTCAACTTTTTTATATATATTCTCTGGTAATCTGCCAAAACACACACAAGCACATATATGAAAGAGACGAGCGTATGTCGCGTTCACCTTGATCTTGAATATCTGCAGGCACATTTCCTAAAACACCCAATATATACTACAACCCTTTGTACCGCGATAGTGCGCCAGCAAGCTAGATATGCGAAGCATCCCTCGACAACAGATTGATCTGAAAGCGTGCAGCTGACAATGGGTGCATAAAATAATTTGTTTTGTAAACAAGAAGAGGCATTTATTCGTCAGTGTAACCTAAAAGTGGTTTCCATCTCTCTCTCTCTTTTTTTTAATCGTATAACTGCAAACCAACGCGCGCAACGCGCGTATTTCATTGCGGTCTATGGCAGTTCCGCCCTGTTTTTCCTCTAGCAATAGGGCCGCCGCCGGCTTCCTTTGCTCCCGTTGGCGGTGGCTGGGACTGCCACTCCAGAGGCTCTATAGAACCTCCTTGTTGTGGGCCGTACAGTTTAAGCCTAATGTCTACAGAGATCGGGTAAGTCGAATAGTCCATGAGCTTAAAAATTTTCAACTGTCGACTATACGTCGTCCTGAAGTAGCAGTTGTATTGTCATTGAGTGATAGTTAAATTTGCGCGTTTTCAGCACGATGTATCAGTGAGCTTAACACGGAGTTCGATCGAGTTTGATACTTTCGACGAAGGCGAAAATAACTGAGGAGAGACTGTGACTGAAAAATGGCCGCTTATTCGTTTACAGCCGCTATAAGCTGAATTTCGCGGACGTCTTTCACTTTCTACTATTGCAGTGAGTTATGCTGTGCAAATCTCATTTTGCGGTGTGCTTCTCAGCTTCTTATTGCAATAGCTACATTTATGTTTTTTTGGTGGTGCATGAGCCAAAGTTCTGTGTGCGAAAATACGCAGTGCTGATCATAGCTTTAAAACTACGAGCAGACGATTCGGCATCATTTCGGAACTTCTGGAAGGTATAGTGCATTGTACCTCACTTGTGTCAGCGATCCATTTTTAGCTTAGTTGTTAACCAAACTTTCGGAATGTAATATCTTAACACAGTGTTTAGAGAGTCTGAGCGTTGTCTTCATGTTGTTGGATGTAGACGTGAGTGGTCATTTCTCAGCTGCCAAATCTTCGCGGTTTAGTGGTCACCGAAGTTCATTTGCAGGACGTTCTTCAGTATTTTTACTGCGTTGCAGCATGCACCACTTCTTTTCTGTAACAGATCGCAGTACATGTGTGTTTCTTGGCGAACTTGGAGCTTATTTTAGGGCGCTTATGGCACAACAAAAATAGGAAGTTTCGAATAGGGGCACCAAAGCCCTTTGCGTGCGCACGCTTTGGGTCAAAAAGGGGCGAAGAGATTTCGAATAGAGTCTGTGACGCTTTACTCATCCAATTCTTGGTCATGCCATTTCAGTGGGTGCCATCACGTTTGTCTGACGCAAAGCTTTTGGGGCAACCTTTGGGACACCCGCCAAATTGGAGAAATTGCGTCCCCAACCCTAAACCCAAATTGTGCACTGGCCTTGACGCTATTTTTTTGGGATCACAAAATTTTGAGCCCATGTTCGAAAACTCCCAAATGTCTTTAGGAACTGAGCACCAGCGTAAAACACTCACACACCCACACACAAATATGAGAAGAAAACGACCGGACGAGCTTGACGCGTAGTTTGGATTTTGTGTGTACGTGTGTGCCCGCGCGTTTTTACTCGTTTTTTTTTTTTGCTTTGACAGTGTACCAACTAACCTTGTTCAAAGCCTTGTTACGCTAAAGCAATAATCTTTTCGCCCTAAAGACGCTATGCGCTCTTATCGTTGCCTCATATTGGCTCACACTAAAACACTGCAAAAACTTATTTGTCGATTTTAAACACTTCAAAATTTCCCAAACTTAAGTGATGTGCACCTACAATTCATTCTTGGTATGCCTATGTTATAGTCTATGATTGTTGAATGTTGTTGTATATCTTTTTTGGCGAAGTACATTGAAAATGCCTTGTAATATTAACTTACAATGCGAATAGGCATTTTGAGCTGCTAATATCAGTTTAGGATACATTGTCTTTGTAAGTTTAACATGAATTGTGTAGATTCACATTTGCTATAACATTCTATAACGCGCCGCGTTGAACTCTGGCGCTTCTTGAATGAAATAATTGGCAGAATTACTTGCATAATTGTCGTCTCCTTCTGACATTAGTGACATCTTTATTGAGTAGCAACTAGTATGTCGATTACATAGACATTTACTAATGCCAAATGTTTTAATGACTATTTTGCTCCTCATTGCCCTCTGGCTACTTGCAAAGAAGTGGCAACTCAACAATGCTTTAGTCATTGCTGAATTGCACCATGGATGTCTTCATCTGCGGTGTGTGCCACATGGGCTTCCATGATATTGGCAAGTTTGTGGACCACAAAAACTCCCTGGGCTCCATTGGTTGTAGCCTCTGCTCTGCCATCTTTCACTCTGAAGATGAGTTAGCCCACCATTCACAACAGCAACATGCAACAGACACACAGGGTGAGTGCCTCTGACACCATAGTCTAGTGGCGCAAGTTGAAGAGCATAATCTGGTCATGCGCAGCTCTTGTGCATGCCGTCTGTGCTTGCCGGTTAAGAGGGGCAGTGTGGTTATGAAAGGGATCGAGCCGTATGTTGTTTCCTCATTGTGTTTATATGTAAGAAAACTTCGAAATGAAACTGCTGACTGCTGAAGAAAACAATTTCTTATTAACCCTTTACTGCCGGATGTCGCGATATACCGACAAACTTCGAGCAAGTAAGTCACGAAATGTGTGCCACCGTTATTGCCGGCTGCCAAATACTCATGAGGCATGTATCTTTCAACATGAAATATCTAGCAGTCTCGTCCAAGGTACTTAAAGCTGAAACCAATTGCTTTGAAGCCCATGGAAGAGAGCGCAAATTGCATGCTACAACTCTCATTTCTTCGTTTTTTCTCGCCTTGATGACGTAAGTTCTATCTTCAATATTTTTGTTTATTTGGTGTGTGCATACTCAAGAAGTGGCACACAACATGTCACGTAGTTCTGAAGTATGTTTTTTGTTGCTAAGTCCTTGCTTCTGTGGCATATGGAGAATTCTTGACATACGTAAAATTATGCATTAAAGTTGAATTTTAGATAATTTAACTACGGAATAAAATTGTGCTACTTAAAGGCCAACTTCGGCGATTTTTTGACCATGTCAGGATAATGGTGCTTTTTTTTTGTTCCTTAGACACTTTTCTCACGTGCCTGATAGCTGAAATGCAAAAAAAAATCGAAAATAATTTTAATTACCAAAAGACCGCAATACCGAAAGCCAACCGAGTGTGCTTCTATGTGTGACGTAAAAATTTGCGTGACGCTGCCAGAACCTGCCTGATTGTACATAATGCCCGCCAGATGGCACTACCTGTCCACGCCTTCTGCCGCGATCGGCTAAAATGCTTACGCTGTTATGATGAATATATGGCGAATCATGTGTGGCTCACAACGCAACACTACAACGCAACACCACCCACCAACATGGAAAAGGAAATCGCACGCTCAACCAAAGAAGCGCCGGCCAAGCCCGCACAATTCATAGCAGACAAGCAGGTGCTGCAGTGGCACATTAGTTTGTCACTTCCGCCAGGCAAAACTCAATGTCACATACA